CGATGTGGAGGCAAAAGTGCGGACCAGAGGTTTGCAAACCTGGCTGAGCACCCCGATGGCCAGGGCCCCTGCACGCATGCCTGCCAGCACCACACACAGAGGGCAGGAGACCAGCAGCACCCTCTGGGACCATGCTCTCAGCAGTGACTCCCTCAGCCCTGAGAATAGAACCTAGCTCCATACCACACGGAAAGCCAGGGTACGCATTCCTTCCCTCCATTCCCCTTTGTTTCCATATAGACGCCTGAATCCATCCATCCATCCATCCATGCACCCGCTTATCCATCCATCCGTCTGCCCAACCCCCATCCATCCACCCATCCATCCACTAACCTAGCTATCTGCCAGCCCATCCCCCCTCCATCCACCCATCCATCTGTCCGTCCGTCCGTCCACCCATCCACCCACCCATCCATCCCCCATCCATCTATCCACCCCAAATATCCCTGTGCTGGAATTACAGGGGTGAGCACCTGTGTCCAGCCAGTCCTGTAACTATTAAAAATTGAGCAGTAATTAAAAATCTTCCCTGAAGAAAACAGATGGCCTTATAAGTGACTTTTATCAGACTTTCAAGGAACAGATCATCCCATTCTTACATAAACAGGACAAAGAAAGGGAGGCGTGCTGCCTATACAGGATGAGACAAAGCCTGAGTCCAACACCAGCGAAAACATCAACAGAACGAAAAATCGCCAGTCCGCTCAAGTACGCACCACAGTCTGAGGAAAGCATTCGCAAATCAAATTCAACAGCTCAGCATCGTATAAGAAAGGCAAGACACTTGGCCAAGATAGGGTTTTCTATGAAGAAAGGATGGTTTAATATTAGAAAATAAAGATGTGAATATGAAAACCTTAATGAAAAAAATTATAGGATCATGTCAAAGGATGCAGAAGAAACATTTTGTAAAATTTGACAAGCACATTCACGACAAAACTCTGCATTGAGGGGACCTCGTGGTGGAGGTGAGCGCCACTCCACATGGGGAAGGGAACAAGCACTGTGTTTAGGAGAGATGGGGAGTGGTCGGTGTCGCCCTGAGCTGGGACGGTGCTCGCCGTGGCATGGCTTCCGTTCCAAGACTCATTGCTGTTCCCTGCTGCATACGGTAAGAGAAGGAAGCAACACGTGTGGCATGGCCGTCGGATGGAAGGAGCTAACACTTGTGTCTTTATCAGTGATTGACCAGCTAGATAGGAAAACTAAAAGAATCTGTAAGTTATCAGAAATGTAAAGAAACTTTAGCAAGATGGCTGGATATAAAATAAAGATATTAAAGTGAGTTGTGGCCAGGCACAGTCACTCACGCCTGTAATCCCAGCACTTTGGGAGGCCAAGCTAAGAAAATCGCGTGCACCCGGGAGTTCAAGACCAGCCTGGGCAGCACCGCAAGACACTATCTCTACAAAAATAAAAATAAATAAATTAGCTGGGCATGGTGGCGTGGGCCTATAGTCTCAGCTACTTGGGAAACTGAGGTGGGAGGATTGCCTGAGCTCAGAAATTTTAGGCCGCAGTGATCTCCGATGTTGCCACTACACTCCAGCCTGGGCAACAGAGTGAGACCGCAGCTCAGAAAAAAAAAAGTGAATTGCATTTCTGCAGACTAGCAACAAATAGAAACATGTAATTAAAAAGAAAACAACTGGCCGGGCACAGTGGCTCATGCCTTTATCCCCAGCACTTTGGGAGGCCAAGGAGAGAGGATCACTTGAAGGCAGGAGTTCGAGACCAGCCTGGCAACAGAGTGAGACCCCGTGTCTACAGAAATTTTAAAAAATCAGCTGGACACGGTGGTGCACGCTTGTAGCCTTGTCTACTTGGGAGGCTGAGGTGGGAGGATCACTTGACCCCAGGAGGTCGAGGCTACAGTGAGCCGTAACGGCACCAAGGCACCCCAGGCTGACGACAGAGTGAGACCCTGCCTCAGAACCAAAACAAAACACAAAGAGGACAATCCATTTTAAAAGAGTCAGAAAACATCACATTCCTGAGGATAAATCTAAGAAACGACATCTAAGACCCCTGCAGCAAAACTTTAGAACGTTAAACCAACTTCAGGTGATTCAAATGTGAAGAACAAAACGTAAAACTCTTAGTAGAAAATATCGGTGACTGTCACGGCTCAAGCTTGAAATGGGAAAGCTTCTTGTGAAGGTCACATCTTACCAGTGGAAGCAGCATGAATGCATCTGATTATATCACAACTGAGAAACTATTTTTCAGCAGAGGACACCGTCAGCCACCTTTTCTCTGTGGGGCTCAAGAAGTTAAACTCTTTCCGTAACGATTCCGAGATGGCATCGGCATGGGTCACTCTCATTCCCTCACAAGCGGACAGTGGAGTTAGGGTTAGGGCTGGGGTTAGGGTTGGGCTTGGGCTTGGGGTTGGGGTTAGGGGCCACGTGATGTGACATCACAGCTGACTGAATGCAGAAGCTGCCATGAAAATCTAGGCGTTTTCCACAACCCAGACACAAAAGATTTACAAATATGCAACGCAATGCCACCCTTCCCACTAATTTTGGAGTGAAAAATTCTCTATAAAAATGTTACGTATGTTAACATGCAATGGGTATTGTGATTTTTAACTGAATTAATAGATAACTTACAAATGTCTCAGTTTTAATTTATGACACCATAAATACGAAGAGACGGAACTCACATAAGCAAAAGCTCTCAGGGGCACTCAATAATTTTTAGTGTTATAAATGTCCTGAAGCCAGCAAGTCTGAGACCTGCCATCCTAAAACAAATAGACAAATTACAAACTGGAGGTGGCATCCACAGTCCTGGCAAAGGGACGTGGATTCCTGTAAGAATGGAGACCCTTCACTGGAGAGGCAACTCCTCACCACATCCCTGTGGGCAGGGAGGAGACACAGCGCCGTGCCATCCCGAAAGAGACCCCAGACTCCTGCCTCACCCGTGTCCTGCGGGAGCCAGACCCCAGGGCAGACCCCAGGCCCCTGCCTCACCCGTGTCCTGCGGGGGCCAGACCCCAGGGCAGACCCCAGGCCCCTGCCTCACCTGTGTCCTATGGGGGCCAGCCATCCTTGCACCATGCTCTGGGGCGTGCCGAGTTCCGGGAGTTCCGGGAACAGATGCACTTCTACCTGCCCAAATCACGAGCCACGCTTCCTCCTGGGCGTACGGCCCGCAGAAACCTCATCCAGATCTGTTCTCGGCTACACACCAGGAAACACCTGCCTCCCCCTCGGGGCCCCCACAGGTGGGGATTTAAATGCAACGCTTCACCCAACGGGTAACAGGCAGCAGATGCCCCGTTACGGCCACACGGCGCTACGCAGATGGAGTTCAGCAAGAAACGTAAGGAAGGAAGTCCCAGAAGATCGCGTACAGCCTGAGCTCTTTTCAGAAAGTTAAAAACAGCACAGATGAAACCGGGGGACTTTTAGGAAACGCAACTTGGATAAAATCAGCGGAACACGGTGGGGGCAGGGCAGGGCAGGGCCGCATGGAGGTCACTTCCAGGGTCTGAGCTGGATACACTGTGACTGGAGCAAGCACAGAATGAAAACCTCCTCACAGGGATAACAAGCACCAGGCCACGGGCGGCCAGGACTTGGGTTCTGGACACTGGGGTGCAATAAAACATAGGACCCCGCAGCAGAGGCCCCCCAGGGGCTCCCGGCCCGACTCTCAGGCAAAGGGCTTCAGTCTCACTTGTTTCAAGGGGAAAGTAAGCCACGCTCTGGGGAAGTGGGGTGCATGGGAAGTGGGGTGCAGGGGAAGCTGGGTGGTGGTGGGGAACTGGGATGCATGGGAAGTGGGGTGCTGGTGGGGAAGTGGGGTGCAGGGGAAGAGGGGTACAGGGGAAGTGGGGTGGTGGTGGGGAAGTGGGGTGCATGGGAAGCGGGATGGTGGTGGGGAAGTGGGGTGCAGGGGAAGTGGGGTATGCGGAAGTGGGGTGCAGGAGAAGTGGGGTGGTGGTGGGGAAGTGGGGTGCAGGGGAAGTGGGATGGTGGTGGGGAAGTGGGGTGCAGGGGAAGCGGGGTGGTGGTGGGGAAGTGGGGTGTAGGGAAAGTGGAGTACGGGGAGGTAGGGTACAGGGGAAGCGGGATGCAGGGAAGTGGGGCAGTGGGGGGTTGCAGGATGCAGGGGAAGTGGCGTGGTGGAGGGAGCGGGGTGGTGAGGGCATCAGTGGGGGGAGCGGGGTGGTGGGGGAGTGAGGTGGTGGGGGGAGGGGTGCAGCGGGGGGGATCGGGGGTGGCAGGGAATGATCCCAAGACTCCTTTTTCTTTTTTTTTTTGAGACGGAGTTTCACTCATGTTACCCAGGCTGGAGTGCAATGGCGCGATCTCGGCTCACCGCAACCTCCACCTCCTGGGTTCAGGCAATTCTCCTGCCTCAGCCTCCTGAGTAGCTGGGATTACAGGCACGTGCCACCATGCCCAGCTAATTTTTTGTATTTTTAGTAGAGACGGGGTTTCACCATGTTGACCAGGATGGTCTCGATCTCTTGACCTCGTGATCCACCCGCCTCGGCCTCCCAAAGTGCTGGGATTACAGGCGTGAGCCACCGCGCCCGGCCGACTCCTTTTTCTTTGTTTTTGAGACAAGGTCCTGCTGTGTGGCAGGCTGGAGTGCAGTGGTGCAATCTTGGGTCGCTGCAGCTTCAACCTCTGGGGTTCAAGAGATTCTCCTGCCTCAGACTCCAGAGTAGCTGGGACCAGAGGTGTGAGCCACTGCTTCCAGCAAATTTTTGTATTTTTAGTAGAGACAGGGTTTTGCCACGTTGACCAGGCTGGTCTCAAACTCCTGGGCTCAAGCAGTCTGCCCGCCTCGACCTCCCAGGGTGCTGGGATTACAGGAGTGAGCCACCACGCCCAGCCCCCAAACTCTTATTTCAAGGTCAAATTTTAAAGTCATGACACTAGGGCCGTGTGCCCAGCCAGAGGCCACTGCAGAGATCGCCTGAAGGCAGGTGCGTTTCCGAGAAGGGGGCGTGGCGCGTCACCCCCACCAGCACTTACCTCAAAGGTGTTTCCAGTGATGTCGAACTCCGGGGGGACAAAGGCACCCTCAGGGTCGTCTTGGGGAGGAGAGAGAGAGGCTTCTGGTCACACCTGAGAACTGAGCCCACCAGCCAGGAAGGGCCTGGAGGGGAGCGGCCCTAGGTCCCCTCCCCGCAGACCCGGCGTCCCCTGACGTTTTAGGTGGTGAGAAAGGGAAATCCGCTCCTTGGCGGTTATGGTGGGAAACGGGTTTCACTGCTGCTTTCCCGAGAAGGAAGCTGAAGACATTCACCGGGGAAAGTCGGCTCCCAGGCAGGGGCCACACAAGGGAGCCTGCTGGCCCACCCGAGGCAGGGGCCTGTGTCCACTCACAGTGGGGCCAGCAGACAGCCCAGGGGGGACAGAAGAGGCGCAGCCTGCTGTTAGGAGAAGGCTGAGGGGAGCTGTTGGGACGGCCGAGCCCCCTCTGGCATCTGAGGGTGGGCGTGACAGCCCTGGCACAGCAGGCACCCCCACGGGCCCCGGGGTACTCTCCAGCCTGAGTCTCTCCCGAGGAAGAGAAGGTTTCCACAGGAAGCCCGGCCCGGACAGCTCCCAGCGTCCGCTCTGGCAGAGCCGGTGCTCACATGCACCCCGAAAGGCGCCTCCGCCCACAGCCCCGCCGCCTCCTCACCGCTGAGCTGCTCCATGAAGCACACGTTCCCGCTGGTGTTGAAGGCCAGGGTGTCCGGTGTGATGCACATGCTCTGGAAGATGGCGGCGTGCACCACGCTCTGCATGGCCAGGCTGCACTCCCGGCACACGGCCCAGGCCTCCTGCTCGCTGAGGCCGCGGTCCCGCAGGGAGAGGATGTCGGCCAGAGACACGTTCTCCTGCCAAGACAGGCCTGACCGTGAGCCGGGCAGGACCCCCAGCCGGCCCTGGCACCCCCACCAAGACGACGCCCTGAGAGAGGGACAGCTTGCAGTGGCGTTTCAGCACGTGGGTCAGGGAGAGGGCTTCGGGCCATGTCTCATTTTGTTTCAAGAGTCTTCCTGCTGTTCCCTGGCCATCAGAGACACAGAACATTTGGTGGCACATCAGCGAGCCTGGGCACGGGGCCTTCCTCCTGGAGGCTCGGCCGGAGCTGCAGGCCAGACCTGCTCCCTGGGCCACGCTGACCCCTCCCCGCAACAGGCTCACGGCTGAACTGGCCCATGGAGGCCACCAACAGATGAGTGACGTGACGGAGTCAACACTCCTAACCCTGCACTGGTGTGGGGCTAACGGGGTGTGATCCTGACACACTAAAGCAACATACAACCACAGGCACCTGCCCTGACACACTCACGCGACATGCAACCACATGCACCTGCCCCGACACATGTGACATGCAACCACATACCTGCCCTGACACACTCACAACATGCAACCACACACACCTGCCCCGACACATGATGCAACCACACACACCTGCTCTGATACACTCATGTGACACACAACCACACACAACTGCCCCAACATACTCGAGACATGCACCACACGCACCTGCCTGACACACTCATGAGACACACAACCAAATGCACCTGCCTGACACATGCAACACACAACCACACACACCTGCCCCGACACACGTGACACAATCACACACACCTGCTCCTGACACACACGACACGCAACCACACCCTCTGCTGACATTTGCTCCAGGTGGTTCACATGGAGGACAGTCATGGCAGTTCCCTTCACATGGCCTGGCCACCCCCATGTGGGCTCACCTCCAAATGTGAGTGGGCTCCAGGATTGCGTGAGGGCTCAGCTGTGATCATGATGGCTGCCACCAACACCCAACCCTACGAACATGTGCACGCATACACACACTCACCTAGCACACATTGTGTGCTCACCCTCACACAGACACACACATCCCCATTTATGCATCCCACACAGACACGTGCCACACAGGCGCACTTATATATTAGCAGGCAGACGCTGGTGCACAGGCATGCCACACACACAGTTCCATCCACTTCACAAGCACACACACACTCATGCAGTGAGAACAGACATCCTCATGCACATGCACATACCTCACACACACACATACTGTCACATACACGTTCACACTCATATACACACACTACATCCACACACATGCCTAACGCTGACCACACGCATGTACGCTCAGACACATATGCCCACACACACTACATCAACCACACACACACCTAATGCTGACCACACGCACACACGCTCATGTACATACATACGCCTGCACACACACACATTCCCATACCTGGTACACACACACATACATACACACACACACACATTCTCATACCTGGTACACACACACACACACACACACACATACACACACACACATTCCCATACCTGGTACACACACACACACACACACACACACATTCCCATACCTGGTACACACACACACACACACACACACACACACTCCCATACCTGGTACACACACCCTCACGGGAACACACAAGGCTGAACAGCCACACTTGCATGAATGCCAGACATGGACTGAAGGCTCTCTTGGGGGTGCTGCTCCCTAGCTGATGGACTCGTGTGCAGGAGCATCTGCTCCACCCCGTGGACAGGAGGGGGTGGCTGGGTGCTGCACCGTGGGTGGAGGTCAGGACACGGGCCTCAGAGGACCAGGCAGGTGAGGAAGAGGCAGAGGCGCCTTCTCCCCCAGCCCTGGCTCCCCCTACACAGGGCAGCTCTGGCCCTGCAGGTGCCACGGGGCTGATGTCCTGAGAAGCACCTCCCACCTCCAGTCCCCTCACCCTGCCCCAGTGGCTGGCACTGCAGGAGGCCAACAAGAAACAGAATCAGGGCACAGGTGCCCGGTGGGGCCTGGCCACAGGGCTGGGTCTGCCTCTGTCCCTGGGGTCCTGGCACATCCCTCATCTGTCTCTCCTTGGGGGGTCCATGGAGGGGCTTGATGACTTCATTTTCCAGGCCCTTCCAGCTCCTTCCAAGGCGGGAATCTCCCTGCCCTGTTCCTGGGTTCCCTGACTGATCAAAGGTGTTTCTGATTTGGGCTCAAACCTGCGGTCCTCGCTGTACCACGGACTCCTCAGGACTCGAGAGAGCCCCAAACTCCCAGCAATTCCTGTGAGGCTGGCCAAAGAGGCGCCTGGACACTGTGTACACAGAAACACACGCACACAAGTGCACCCACACACGTGCACATACCCGTGCACCCGTACACACAGGGAGACACTGCAACACATGCACGCACTGCAACACATGAATGCACACGTGTACCTGCACACACACCCACGCACCCGTGCACCCACACACAGGCACACACTGCAACACATGCACGCACTGCACGCATACACGCACACCCGTGCACCCAGACAGGCATGCACTGCACACATACACGCACACCCACGCACCTAGACAGGCACACACTGCACACATACATGCGCACCCGTGCACACACAGGCACACACTGCACACATACATGCACACCCGTGCACCCACACAGGCACACACTGCACATACACGCACAC